AAAAATGGTACTTGTCTGAATGTTCAGTCAGGAAAATGGACTTCCGGGAGGAAAGGGAATTTATTCTATCCACAAACCATTTGTAAGCATGTATATGAATATATATACGTATATCTGTGTGTATATATAATATACATATTTTTACACACACACATATATATGTAAATTCTTCAGAAAATTGACAAAGATCTCAATGGTGTTGTGAGTAGTGTTGGGTTTTAGTGGGTTAAAGAGCCAGTCACAGAAAAAGAGTTTGAAATGTATCTTTTACGCACTGGATAAATTATAAGGCATATGGGGAGGAACTTAAACGTGGTCTGTAATTGGCAGCTTTAAAAAAAACACTTAAGAAGCTGAAAAATCAAATACTCAAGGTTTCAGAAATGGGTGGCTAGCATGTGTATACCTATATGGCATTTCACAGCCACCCAAGGTTGGTCTGTATGCGACTTCGAACATGAGTTTGCTTTGAAGGCTGCATTGCAGGAAGGCTGCTGATCTGTTCAGGTCTCCATTAACCTGCAGCTATGTCATTTCTAGCTCAAAGCCAGAATTAACTCATTCAAGGCTTCTTCATGGAGCTGCTTGCATTTGGAAGTACAATATTCAGCATATCATGACCCTACAGTTATGCAAAACAACCACCCGAGGCTTTCTGACTCTCGTCGTGTTTTGTGATGTGAGCTTTGAGCCAAGATAGAAAACCAATTCCTAGTGTATCAGAGTGAGGATAGATCAGCTCTGATTAGTGTGATCTTAATGTGATATCTGCTCCCAGAGAGGGGTCAAGGCACTCATAATTGGTGGAGTAAGCACATAACCAGAGTAGAGTCAGGTCACTCCATGCTGGAGCAACTCCTGAGACACTTCTAGAAGCAAAATCACTGTTAGTGGTTACATCCACAAAGTGTGCTTAGGTCTATTAGCTGTTCAGTATTTATAGTACCATGAATAAGCATTGCAAAGCTATTCTCTAACTAGAAATGTTATAAAGTGCAAATCCTCACCTGAAGAACAGACATACCACATTTTCCACATACATTGCAGAGCATTTGGCATAATGGCCGAACTAAAATATGACCTTAAGGATCAATGAGAATCCTGGATGTTGATGTGACATTAGTTTGAAGTAACTTATACTTGATTTAATCCTTAAACTTTTCCCCAGTGCTTAAGAGACAGGATCTGACTCCTTAATGTAATTTCCACATTCCAGTACTTACATTTCTGATCTGAGGTGATCCTGCTCCTTTATTCTGTTCTCGTGAGACCTCACCTGGAGTATTGTGTGCAGTTCTGGTGTCCTCAACATAAAAAGGGCATGGAACTGTTGGAACAAGTCCAGAGGAGGCCACAAGAATGATCAGGGGCTGGAGCACCTCCCATATGAAGACAGGCTGAGAAAGTTGGGGCTGTTCAACCTGGAGAAGAGAAGGCTGCGTGGAGACCTCATAGCAGCCTTCCAGTATCTGAAGGGGGCCTATAGGGATGCTGGGGATGGACTCTTCATTAGGGACTGTAGTGATAGGACAAGGGGTAATGGGTTAAAACTTAAACAGGGGAAGTTTAGATTGGATCTAAGGAGGAAGTTCTTTCCTGTTAGGGTGGTGAGGCACTGGAATGGGTTGCCCAGGGAGGTTGTGAATGCTCCATCCCTGGCAGTGTTCAAGGCCAGGTTGGATGAGGCCTTGGGTGATATGGTTTAGAGTGAGGTGTCCCTGCCCATGGCAGGGGGGTTGGAACTTGATGAACTTAAGGTCCTTTCCAACCCTAACTATTCTATGATTCTATGATATTAAACACATCAATTTCTAAAAGTAGCTTGAAACTATTCAAAACTTATGCTACATAAAAATCTTTCTGAACCATTTAAAAGTAGAATGCATCAATGCAAAAAAGAAGAGGGGAAAAAGAGAGAGGAATAACAAGAAAGGGGGGGGGGTGTGGGAGTTTCTAGGGTAGTTTCCTTACTGTGATTACTTGGATGGTTTCTCTGCATAATTGTTCCACCAAGACTTCAGCAGATGGAGTAATAGGCAAGCTTTAGGCTCTGATTACAGAAAACAACTAGTGCAGGAATTTGTCTGTTTTGTCGATTCAGAGTTCTTTCGTAACTGTTCCCAGAAGGCTCTTATGCCAATATTACCCAACAGACTGACACCGTGTGCCAGGCTGCTTGCAGAGATTAGCCCTTACATTCCCATCGGAAGCAGAGCTGTGGCAAGAGCTGTCACTGACCCGGTTCATTTACTCTACAGGAAGGACCCATATTCCTTAATTCAGGGTTCTCATATCTCAATGCAAATAGTCTGCCACTATATTTTCTCATGATATATGGAGATTTTAAGACTGATGTTAACAATAATTGCTAGAGAATCAAGCAACTTTTTGTTTCCAACTGTAATATTCTGAAAGCATCCCATACTGCCTAATAGTTTCCTTTACCCAGATGTAAGAGGACAGCAAAAAACCTCTTTCTGTTTGATCTCCTTTGAATAAAAGCCAGCGGGTGATCACTCTAAATGCAGAAAACCCACTTATGAATTCAATATTTCTATTGAAGCAGTTCTCAATGTGTTCACACCAGAACGAGCATCCAAGTTGTTTAATAGGAGAGGCTATTTTCGAGACAATTGTTAACGATTTTAAATATGAATGTTAATGGTGGACTTTTTCTTGTTCTAGTAATATGGAACTATACCAGAATCCATCTTTTTGCTCATTACCAGTCCAAGAACAGAAGAGATGAAATAAAAACGTGTGTTGAGTAACAACTCGGCTTTCTAAGTTGTGATGTTTACGGCACAGGAGATCATAAACACAACTTGAATGTGTCTTATCAGTGTTAGATACAATATAAAGATTTGGCTTTTTATTCTTTCAGTTCACAAGCTGTCGTTTGCCCATTACTGGCTTGTTTTTAGTGAATTATCACTGCATTTAGTTTCTTTTAAAAAACATTTTCTTATATACTCAACTGAAATGCCTTTACGTCTGCATGCTGGGAACATCCACATTTCAGCTCTCTTTGATCTTCCTTACATTTAATTTGTGTGCTTTTCATACTCGATGTACTAATTGGCTTTTCACAGCCTTAGTTTTCAACTCTGCGTGATAGACCTTATTACATTAAAACCATTTTTGCCCATTTCCTTTCTCATTCCTAGCTTAGTATTTTCCTTTTTATTAGTTCTGTGCCACCTTATTCCCTGTCAGCAATGTGTATGCATGTAGATCAAACCTGTTTCAAACTAATACCTCATCTTACTCTTTTCCTACTCTATGGAAACTTATTTAATGACTAATTGGCCAAGCTTTTTAGCTTATTTAAGTTTTCTATGTAGGCTCTTCTGCAGCTGTGCAGATTTACAGCACCTCTCAGCCTGGCACCCTGACCAAAGCTGTGGGATAAATCTGGAGTTTGGGCAGTAGGTGTGAAGTCATCCATTATTTGCCTTGCGACCATCGTCAGTGCTTGCTCACATATATCGTCTGTCACAGGAGAAATGGTTTGTGTCTGAGATAAGTCAGCTGCTGAACTAAAAGTAGGGTTACCCTTAGTTTCAGACATGGTTCTTTCTGTCAGGGAGAGCTTTAGTCCCTTTAACATCCCATTTAACGCTGTTAACGTTGAAGTATGTTCATTTGAACTATAAGGATCATTGAGCCTTCTTTGCACAGGCTCAGACCTTTTCCTAGATATTTGCTAGCAGTAATTTGTTAAAGACTTTCTTTTTGCCCATATTTACTGAGCAGATTCTCCTGCAGTCCAAAGAAAACATTTCACAGGTGGTAGTTGCTGCTAAAAAGAGGAAGGAAGCGCTAATGTTGCATCTGTTCTAATCAAGTGTCTACTCTCTCATTAAAAAGTAGTGAAGGCATTTATGTTTCACGCAATATTTACTTCCCCAATCTGGTCTCTTACAATCCTTTTACTCTTAAACCACTTATTTCTTCAAAAACATGTTTTCCAAAATGATTATTATCTTTTTCTGAAAACTCCTCCCACCTAGGTTTATCTGAGCCCCATATAGATGATTCTTACTTGGCAAAGAGGCACATGGGGCATAGCTCAGGTGAAAGAGGGCATACATATCAAATGAAGCTTTACTAGCATGGCTACTTGTGATGTTAACTATAAAATTGCTCCTAGTTGATGGTTATTGATGGCATAATCCATGGATGTCCCTGCCACCTGCTCAGCAGAAGCATTTGCTGCTTGTGTGCTCATGGACACAACTAAAGGGACAAACTGGCCATGAGGAGCCTCATTGAGAGACGCCCACATTGTCTCCCACCATGGCCCCATAGGACTGTGCCATGCAGGCAGAATGCCTAGGCCTTAGATTTAGGGTTTCCAATGGCTCAGCATTTGTAAAAGCAGGCTTTGGAGCTCCATCAGCTGGGCATAAGGAGAAATACACCATATCCATTTAGGGAAGCCAAACGGGATTGTGGAAAACCAAAATAAACAGTTTCAACCACTCCCAAAGGAGTGTTAGCCTATTAAAACCTAACAAGCTGCAATCTTTTTCCTCACTTCTTAAAGTTGTTCCAATATCTGATGATGACTGACAACAAAGTAGGGATTCATTACACATTGCAGAGGGGAGAGCGAAAGGAAATCCAGTTGTACATAGGCCAATGTTCCTTACTTGGCAATATAGAGAAGCTAATTTTGAGACAATGCAGTCATGAAATCAGTTCAGTCATGCATTGCGCCAAAACGATCTATGTGCTCATAAAATGAGAGATGAGTGGAAGTGAAAAAGAAGTTGAAAATCTTATGGCTAAACTGGAATATATTTAATCTCTCAATATAAACACTTCTGTCCAATGCATTACTGTGTTGTTTTTCAGCATGTTAACATTATTTCAGATACAAGCAACAGAGCCTGGATTTTACAGGGGAAGAAGAGCTGGCAGTCAATACCTGTTTCCTTCTAAAACATTTCATTAAATGTGCACAGTGAATTAATTAGAAAATACAATAGAGAAAATCAAAGATATGCTGTTTATTAGGCTTGCTAAATAGACTGATTAATGTGCTAGATCTCATACTGGGATTAGTGATGAAGTGGGCAATTCATCACTAAGCTGACTGGAAAAATACCATAAGGCAACTGGAACCTAAATCATAATGATGGGATAAGGACCCTGAAATGGAAAAAATGAGAAGTGTTGGGCTGTGGCATGTGAGTTAATGGTGTGACTATCCATATCACAGAGGTTAATTCACATACTGGGCACAGGAGCAGCAGAACACAGGCTCTGGATGCAGCATCAGTCCTTCCTCCACTCTGCTGCTGTTTCTTTTTCAGCACCAGCTTGGGAGTTTTATCCTCATGTGTAGTTTAGAAGGTAAAAATAGACAAGAGGAAGATAAATGATTTAGTGAAATGGAGAAGATTGGTTTTACAGCTCGTTTGAAAATCTTGGAAGCCTGAGGAGAAAGAATAAAAAGCATGTTGTTGTTCTTCGGAACACATTGCTCATGTGTCATCATACCTTCTCCAACACCATGCAGAGTGCACTGCCCCTCAGCCCCTTGCATGGACCTTCCTCCTTCAAACCTGTGCTTGCCTCTGCTCCCCAGTTCCATCCTGATTCCCCAGGGTACTATTCAGGACACTCCTGCTAGTCACATGTGCTGGTGACCAACACAGAATCATAGCATCATAGAATAGTTTGGGTTGGAAGGGACCTTAAAGGTCATTTAGTTCCAACCCCCCTGCAATGAACAGGGAGATATTCAACTAGATCAGGTTGCCCAGAATCACATCCAGCCTGGCCTTTAATGTCTTTAGGGATGGAGCATCCACCTCCCCTCTGGGCAACCTGTGCCAGTGTTTTACTGCCCTCATCGTAAAGAATTTCTTCCTCTCATCCAGCCTGAATATTCCCTTGTCCTGTTGCATCAGGCCCTGTTGCATTTCTCTTCCCATCTTTCTGGTTGACCCCCTTTAAGAACTGAAAGGCCACAGTAAGGTCTCCCCAGAGCATTCTCTTCAGGCTGAACAACTCCAACTCTCTCAGCCTTTCCTTATAGGAGAGATGCTGCTATCTGATCATCTTTGTGGGCCTAGATCCAAAGTAGAGGAAGAAAAGGAGAAAGGAAAGAAAACAAAGTGAAATAGGATCACCAACCCATGGATCCAGCACCATCTTCTCTGTCAGCAAGTCCTTTCAGTCAGTGACCCCACTGAGGTACAGGCACACACATCCTGGGAAAGGATGTTTATTCTAGCAGCCAGTCCTGAGTTTGCAGATGAGGGAGAGGTCAATGGAAACCACTCATACTTTCCTTCCCTGTTTTCAGTGTGAGTAATTAAAGATCAGCATTGTATTCCAGCACATCCAATGGGTTGCTCAACTGAGCATCACCGGTGGAGCTGCTCATTTAGCTCTGACTGGTTCCACATGGTGCAGGCTCCAGCCAGCTATTTCAGCAGGGCTAATGGGATTAAAGAGCAAAGAATCTTTCCCCACTAAAGTAAACAGAAATGACAGGCTAAATAATATGTAGCTTTTAAGGTTACAGTTTAGATGGTTCAGCTGACAGAAATTTTACCCTGTTTGTCTCAAGTCAGAATCTTTTCCACTTAAATTAATGTAAGTGCAGATTTATACAGTCAAGGCAAAAGCTGAAGCGAGTTACATGGTCTTATAAGGTAATCACTTAAAAATATCTAACATAAATGTAAATGCTTGCTTAAAATAGGCAAAATATAACCTATTCAGCAAGAAAAATCCTTTTGATACAGCCATCAGCATGCAGGAGAAAAGCAAGCTGTACTTACCACAGCATCTTCCATTAGTTCAAACACAATATGAGATATGAAACACTTAGGAATGTTTTTCCACTACTTGGCTTGCCTTTATGTATTCATGACAGTGTTGCACACGATTGTTACTGTAGATTCTCAGATACCTTTACACCTTGCATTCTTCAATGCTTTATCCAGGACTGGAAGCAAAATGTTCTGAATAACAAATCTAAGCATTTAAAATAGCTTGGGAAACTTGTCTTTAATACGAACACCTTGGATTTTGCACTGTGCCATAGCTCAGTATCGCTCTACTCAACACGTCCCTTTCTGAAAGGATCACAGGTTTACAAAGCCATGTCAGGGAAATGTCCATGTCATCAAATAATGGAAAACAAATCTGTGCACAGAAATGGCTGGAATTTTCAATAATCAGAAAAAAAGAAGTCATCATTTAAAGATGAATTCTAGGAAAAGCCATCAGGTTCCTTACTGTAATATATGTGAACAAGTCATGATGTTACAGGAGTACAGTGATAATCATAAGTCTGGTTTCCAAACTACAGTGTGCAAAGGATCTTACAAACTTGCTGGATGGCCAGGCTGGTAGTTTAGCAGTTTATTGTGGTTTTAACTTGTTATTGTAATGTATTTTGTACAGCAAAATTATTTCCCCGAATATTTCCTATAGATTTCAGGGTGGTTTTCTTCTTCTGTTGTTGAACAAAAACTTGCTAAAAGTGATTTCTCAACAAGGCAAAAATTGTGAAGCTTTTCCAGTGAGAAGTTTGATTTAAATGTCATTTTCTGCTCCAAGAAGCAGCAAACGAGACCTGCTTTAATTCTGTGAAATAAAAAGGCAAAGCCTACTGTAAGACTTCAGCTTTTTATTGTGGCTTTTTCTTTTTTGTCATAACTGTAGAAGTGCTTTAAAAGTTATAATGAACCTTGTAACTCGGAACAATTTCAAGCAAATGCCATTTGCTTCAGGACAGACTCTGCCCTCACTCACATCTTGGTGAGCCTGCTGTAGGCTTTCAGTGGAACTGTTTCTAATGATTTCAGCTCCCAGTGATTGACGCCTGGGAAAGCTAACAGCCCTGATAGCCTGACAAAAGAAATGGAAACCTAAATTCCATCTTTGTCATAAGTTTTTATTCAAGAAAGCACTGTGCCGTTTTATGCCTGCTTCATTTCTTACCGGACACGTTTGTGTGGATGTCAAAACCAAATTGAAGTAGCAGTGCGTCTCCCATGCCAAATACCTTAATTCCTTTGATACTGCTTTGCCAGTAATGATGCTATTCTTCCTCTTCTTTTAGAGGAAATGGGTGCTTTAGAAGGCAATGGTCTGTGTTAGCAAGAAGTCTGTGAATACTTATTACTTTAACCCATAGTTCCTCCTCTTTATTGGTAAAGACAGAGAACAGCATTAGACTTTGATGAAGTTGTTGCCACTGCTGCCTCAGTACAGTGCAGTGACCCTTCAGTTTGTGTCATCTCAGCCTAGCAGTTTCCTTCCCAATCTAAAAGCCTCATTTCTGAGAGGGACCATAAATGGCAGAGTGAATTTAATAAAATGAATTCAAACACATGGAAGCAGTAAATGTAAAGGACGAGACCTCTGAAATAGACCTTTTAATCCAGGGAATAAAAGCCAAATCACAGCAATACAAATAAGTCTCTGAGACAGAAAACATTCGCTATTCAAGCTTGGTGCTCTGGCACTTTAACTTGTATGCCAGACCTGCTGGCAGGGGGAAAGCCAGAAGTCAGTCATTAGCCCTAATTCCCAGCAGCTGATTTAAAAGTCTTCTAGGCCGACAGAGAGGTAGCTGGTGTCCTGGAGGGAGTAGAAAGGTCAAAATCCACGCAGTTTGGAAGAGGTTGGTGTTGCTTTTCTTATTCTTTTCAATTTTATGGAAATCAAGTAATTTCTAATGTGTTGGAAGTTGATGTAGTGCTTGCTGCCTTGCTGATGTGTGTGCCCGTGCTCCTTGTTGTTTGACCAGTCTCTGGGGAAGGCTGCGTGCGGTTTGGTGGCCCGGGTAATTCAGGGACCAGGATGTATAGCTGTTGTTTGGCTTTAGACTCCACAAAATAAACTGTATATTAATATTTTATGATTGAATTTACTACTGTCTCAGGAAAGAGGGAACAATGCTACAGATATAACCATTGGGCTGCTGGTTGGCTTTTTCTTGAGGGCAAAGACTGGCAGGGATGGGTCTGCAGCTGAAGTGTATGTATAGTTTAATTCTCTATGGCTTTTGCTGTGCTATTTTATCCACCATCTCTTTGCTTTTCTTTCACCCTGTGACCTGAGCTGTTTTAGGAAGTGTAGGCTCCCCATTAGCTTCTGTTTGTGAAGGTTTTGAGAAATAATAAATAGATAAAAATGGAGGTAAGAACTTAATTCTCTCTTTGTGGTCAGGATAATAAACCAGGCAGTGACTGGTTCCCAGTTCAGCCTCCTCACTCGTATGACACCATACACCCGCAGCTGCCTGGTGTCACAGCTAAGGTGGGGGCTATGGGGAGAGTCGCTCTGTCAGGGTAACAGCAAGGGATGGCTGATGGCTTTGTAAGCAGCATGAAACCACTACATCAGCCCTTGCCCTTTCCTGCTGTTAGTTCTGTTAACTCAAGCTGTGCTATCCTTAGGGCATGGAACTAGATTCTCCTCTCCTTTTTGGGCACTCACAGGTTTGTGCTGTGCAGGAAGCTCTGGGTGGGTTCCTGTGATGGGGTGATGGATTTCACCTGCCTTGGTTTCTGATACAGATGCAGACATGCTCGTTGGTTGCCAGCTGTGTGCTTTTCCACCTCAATTACAAGCTGGCAGTTAAGGTATTGGATGTATTGGTAAGTAATGTGGCCTATGAGAAATATTACCTGCTTCCCTGGGGTTGATGGGGCTTGAAAGGAAACATTTATCAGAGCTGTTCCTTGTTTCCTGTCTTCTCCTTGCTCTTCCTTATGCATTGCATTAAAGTAAATAAGTGGCATGAGATGGAAGGGTGATGAATTTGTTTAATTGTGAGGTTCTTTAATAGACTCCCTGGGGTCCCATTAACGCAGCAGGGTTGCTCTTCAGCTTATCTCCTCCTGGGCTCTGATCACCAGCACTTTTCTTTACAAGAAGACCTTTCATCTTAAGCTCTGTTAGTGCTTTGCAAACATCCATTTCCCAACACTCTCCCTAGAGAAAGAAATTACTGTCTCTTACCCAGTTATAACTTGCTTAAAGGGAAAGCAAGGCACAGATAAGTAGGGGAGATGCTGCTGTCACATGGATGTGCGGGGATGCATAGCCACTCCTGCTGTGTCATGTAACCAGTTAGAAACTATTTCAGCAACCTGGTCTAGTGGGAGGTGTCCTTGCTCATGGCAGGGGGGTTGGAACTAAATGATCTTAAGGTCCTTTCCAACCCAAACCACTCTGTGATTCTTCCCTCACAGAGTAGCTCATTCATACCAGACTATAAAACATATCTGCCATAATAATGAAAATATCTTTCTAGGCCCTTTCTTGTGTCCTTTCCAACCCCAGTCTTTTAATGAGCTCTTCCTGCTTAGACTGGACTGGACTTCCTGATTTGGTGTGCTAATGGTTCAAGCATATTGCCCAGCCCACTGAAACTTCCCATAGTATTCAGCATCAGTGAGCAAAGAGAAAATGTAAGTGCTCTGTGCATACAGTGCATAAAAATAAGTTAACTTTGTAATATGTGATGGTAGGGAGAGACAAGAGGGACCCAATACACCTGGGTTGGACTCCCTTTTGCTGAAGCTCTTGAATATCTGCTCTGTGTTTCTGTTTGGCACAGCTAGATGTGGCTGGTTAAAAGGCACTGAGGTTTTGCTCCAGACATTCACGTACAGAGAGCAGTCAGATCAATATCAATCCCTGCAGCCCAGTGCTGGTAAAAAGACTCGCAAGTGCCTGTTGTTCAGCTGTGATTGTGCCTTCAATAGAGATCAAACCGAGTTGAATGATGTTGGAGCTCCTGGGGTGCTGCTACAGAGATACAGAGGGTGGTTGAGACAACAAACTAAGGAAGATTTAAATAAGAGTGAATGTGTATTTGCAACAATGAGTTAATTAAGAATGAAAAAAGACTGGAGGAGGAAAAGGATCTCTAATGCAGATGAAATTAGTCTAATACAGTGTAAATAGTATTGCTATGGTGTGTATTGTCTATTGCTCATATTATACTTCTGTTTAAGGTGGAAGTGGGGCAGGTTTGAGGGCTATGTGCCAGTAACTAGAAAGGAGGGAGTCTGTGCTCTGCAGCAGGGGCTTTCGTACCATCTGGCAGCACATTTGCACCATGGACCAAGTACTTGGTCTAATACAACTGGAACAATACCTATGGCAACTTTGAATACTGTATTTTCTATTACACTCTTTCATATGAAGAGCAGTTTCTACCTCTGCCTACCTTTCTTTAGTTTTGCCTAACCCCCCAGCAACAAAAACCAAACCCAAAACCAACCCAAACCAAAACAACAGTTGAAATCTCTGGAAAATAAACTCCTCATCAGTTCATGGTGAAGTGTGAGTGCTCTATAATTACAGTGCTTTAATGTTGTAAGTGTGACTCGCCTGTTATGT